GGGGGGCTCATTCCTCGATCCCTCAGGGAGATTTCAAAGCCACACGGTTTCTCGGCTGCACTTTGTTGAACCCACCTCCCATTTTCTGACACTATAAAAACACGTCAAACGTGACCAAAATAGGGGGGGGAGAAAATTATAAACAATTACCGTTTCCAAGTGAAATATTTAAGTGTCTGCCTTTGTAAATGTTCCAGACGCTGTGATCCTGAGCATGAACATATACCCAAAGAGATCTCTCCTTATCCATAATCTTCATCCACACTGTATATATCTTTTCTGAGCCATGCGGACTCAACTGTTCCACAGGAGGGTATTTTAACCTCCCACACTTCATTTCCTCGCTCATTTCCCCTCGCTGCTGCAGAACATGGGGGTCACATACCCTGCTAATGCCTCGCTGTGTTCAGTAATAATGGTGGGATGGTGCTATTGTCAGTGTGCCCAGCCTTATTTCCACCTGTCCTTCCTCTGCCCCAAGAGCTCCAGATCAAGTCATTTATTTGAATTAAGTATAAGGAGGCTATACTTCAGATGCATCATCTTGTTTTTAAGAGGCTCCAGACAACCGAGTACATTAATGACTATATATCAGTGTGATGCAGGGCTTAGCTACACTTCAAAATATAGTAGACAAACTTTACAAATGTAACTAAACTAGACCCATCAACATCTTTTGACCCTGAAATTATGATAAAACATTGCTGAGTGTCGTCATTTTGGACCCTGTATTTTCTCTTTCTTATTTCTTCAGCAAAAACAACCAAAAGCATCTCCCTCCTTTGAGTTACGTTTATCTTAAAATCTGTTTAAAAGCATGTCTGTAAAAATTTTATGCAGCATATTCAGGGTCAATATGATGAAAACACACATATTTGGAGTTCAATTGGACTTCAATTTTGGCAATCAACCCTATTTCCAATCACAAAAATTAGTTTGGACATAACAGAAAGCTAAAGTTGCGGCAATAAAACATCTACAAGTTTGTTATCTGCTTTTGAGAGAGAGTTGTGGACAAAAGGAGTAGAGTAAAATGAGTTAGTAAAGGGAGTAACTTGATGAACGAGTGGTATGCCCTTTAGGCCAAACAAAGATGAAAAAGCCCTCGAGAGAGCCTTTGAAATAGAGAGCGCTGCTTCAATTCAGCTCCCAACAATTAATATTGTTTAGTTGTTCTTTCTCGATGCCAAACCGCCGCTGGGGGTTTCGTGCAAGAATGGGGGGGAGGAAGAGCCAGAGCCTCACAACCTTTCACTTATTAGAGAGTAATGATGAAACCGGAGAAGGGGTTATATACAGGCCTGATTTACATTAAATCAAATCTGAGTTAGTGTTCATTCAACCCTTTCTCTGCTTGCAGGAAATGTTTTTCAGATGTGAAACATGTTTTAACAATACTTACCTGTTAACTGCAGTATGATGTCTTTTGATAAACCATACATTTTTTGCATGTTGAAGGTTCATCTAATTCGTATTCACCATGTTGTTAAAGTCACCGACAACCTCCTCCTCTCAGGCTCTAGTCATCTCAATGTTTTCATCCTCCGCAACCCCCGCTGCTGCTTTTCTCACCATCATCAACATTCTTTCTCAAAAACTTTACGACCTCCCTACTATATCCCCTTCCTACTTTAACAAAGTAGGAAGATGGGTACATATAGCATATCAATGAACAGATATCCAAAACATCCGCCTCCGGCGTCCCCCAGGGTTCAATGCCTGGTCCTCCACCGTTCATTGCCCTACAATGCTCCCCTTTGTTAACACCATCCGTCTTCATGGTCTCCACTTCCACTGCTGTGCCGATGATGTCCAAACTCCACATCTCCACTAAATACACAATCACTGCAACTCACTCTACCCTGACCAACTGCGCTGCCAAAATGTAACTGTGGATGCAGGCCAACTCTCGCATTTAACTGATTTTCGAAAGCAGACTCTCTTTTTGACCACCATGCGAATCTCATTAACCAAGAAAGCTTTTTTACACTTCAAACATATGGTTTTATTCCACCCCTCCCAGAAAGTTTTTTTCATCCCTTCCAGACTCGACTACTGCCACAGCATTATTAACTTCAGTACATCCATAATTGTTTATGATCAAGACTCAAAACTCTCCTTTTTATTGTACGTTGCTTTTAGTGTCCTGTACTACACTTTGCCTTTAGTGTGTTGTTAGTTCTATCATCTTTTTAACTTGAGGGTTGAGTGTCTTTAAGCACTCTCTATAGTGCTCTAAAATGTTTGTTTATTTTACTCCCACTTTTTGACATGGCTCTTGGTCTTTATTTCCCAGCTGTATATCCAAAGACTGTCTGCCTCCCTTCTTCCTGCTTTCTCTCTCTCTCTCCATCTTAATCATCTTTACTCCTCCTTCCTGCGCTGTCTTCCCGCTGATAGCGAATGCTAAAAACTGTGCCTGTGAATTCTCTCCGCCAGAAGAAAGACATCATGAGTGAACGGTTCGACTGCAAGAACTGCAACGAGTCCCTGTGCGGACGCAAATACATCCAGGTGGAGGACAACCCTCACTGCATCCCCTGCTACGACCGCTTGTACGCCAACACCTGCCAGGAATGCAAAGAAATCATCGGCCACAATGCCAAGGTAAGCTCTACTTGTACAAGTACATGTACTCAACTGCTGTACTTAAGTACAATCATGAAGTTTTTTTGCTTCTACTTTCTACTTCTACTCCACCACAGTTCAGAGGGAAATATTGTACTTTTTACACACTTATTTGAAACTTGTAGCTACTGATTGAGATTTAGATTGAACAATTATTGTATTAATTAATTGATTAATCATTTGGTCTGTTAAACTTCTATAATAGTGAAGAATGACCAACACAGTTTCCCAAAGTCCAAGGTGATGTCTTCAAATGTCTTCTTTTGTTCAAGTCCAAAACCCAAAGATTTTAATTTTAAAATGCCTTCAAACAGAGAAAAGCAACAAATCCTCAGCTGAAACTGGAGAGTTGCCATTTCACTGAAAAATGATGATAAATCCACCATCAAAATAGTTGTGAATTCATTTTCTGTTGATCAAGTAATCGTTTCAGCTCTGTCATCAATATCACGTATTGCTTATAAGATAACTCCAGAAGAGTATATGAAATAGTTCACGTTAACTCCACCAGCTACACCACTGAAATGCCGCTAGAGTATAATGCATCACTAATAACGATCAAATTATATTTAAGAATATCATGACATTATCTGGGACCGTACTGCCTCAACAACTACTTTAGTTTTTTGATACTTTGAGTACATTTAAATAATAATAACACTTTGAATGCTGAGTACTTCTTCCACTGCTTACGTTGTAACTGTCTGACTGCATTATGATACATTTTCTAACTTCTTTAGCAAACCAGCTGGCGTTGTTAGAAAACTCGGCAAATTGTCCCTTTAAGTTCGGTAAAAACCGTAGTTAGTGAAAATTGGAAACACTGTCCTGAAGAAAGCACCCACAGACGCCATGAGGCCACCGGTGTGCTGTGTATTATGGACTCCCTGTGAAGGAGCTGCAGTAAATTACGCCGCTGCTTGCTTTGGCCGTCCCTCCCTTTGCACAAGACATAACAACAGTCATATTTCTTCCTTCTCCGCTCCTCTGCGTTAAGTCGTTTCTATTACTGTGAAACTCCATGCCTCAAAAATAAGTTTTTCACCCACCGTTCAATGAGGCCATTTATCACAGAGCTCGCCTGAACTGCAGATGAACTGGAACACAAAGCAGCTGTTGGAAGAAAAACACAAAGACACAAAAAGTGGCTTATCCAGATTTTTTGAAGTAAAAAAAAAAAAATACTTCTCTCATGCTCAACTCCACTGTTTGGAGGACGGCGGGATGTCGTGGAAAGTAGGAACCATTCGGGTTGACTGAGGCTCTCATGTCGGTAAGCATCCAAGATACAGGGAACTGAGTCCTGTGGTCAACCGTGACCTCTGACCTCCAAGCGGATGGGGGAGCAGCGAATAGAGAATCTCCTTGTGAGCAACAAGAACATATCAGGTGTTTTTATTAACTTACAGTTTAGGGTAAAATGATTGAATGTTTGTTAAAGGATTAAGCCGTTTGTCTTATCATCAACAAATCCTATAAGGAGGACCAAAAACGCAATATTATATCAATATCTGACTTCTCTGTCCTGTCTGTGCACATTAATTCCTACTGAAGATACAAACCTTTCGAAATTAGTCATTAATAAACTTACTTTTTTATAAATGCTAAGGGCTGTCCGTGAACTGCTGGGCACTGTAGTTGTAAGCATAGATTAGTAGATGGGGGGGGGGGCTATTTTCTGGTGCGGATTAACACACATTTGATGACAATTTATGGCAACAGGAAGTATGTGAAACTGACAGTGCCCATTTACTAACATCAGCCACCATGAACTACTAATCATACCAGACCAACTACCACAGTAGCCACAACACCTTATGGTATATTTGATTAAGCGAGGATATATTTAATTACTTATGAATTTTAGGACAATTGTGTTATTTTGTCTTTAAAATGCTATAAAGTCTCACTTTAAATTTGTAAATATTTAAATGGGTCAGGGTGACGGTTTTACCCCGATGGGAAGCTGTTCTCTCTCTTTGCACCTCGGCTTGTTCACCCCCTCATTATTAATATTAATTATTAATATTAATATAATTACATATTTCATTAACTTTATGAAGGGTATGTGAGCTCTTTGATATTTTTGCTGGCAGTCCACACCATAATATGTCAGGGAGTACTGGCCATGTGTGGTTTTATTTTCAGCTAATTATTCATATAAACTTATTCTGAGTTGATCAAATTGAACATGTTTTAAACATCCAGGTGTTAGATTATGGTTAAATGTGTTAAGATGAACAAGAAGAACGGAGTATAGCATGAACAGAGTACCTCCCATTTATACTGATCACAAAGAGCCATCAGAGACTTTCACATCAGTAACAACTTTGTACCAAAATGTAAAGGGGCGAGTGTGAAAGTTTCACCCCGATGGGAAGCTGTTCTCTCTCTCTGTCCCTTGGTCATCCCCCTCTGGTTGCTTCTTTCAGTCTTTGTTCAAAGGACAAAGTGTCCATTAGTCTTCTGATCATCTTCTGATGACATCCAGGTGAACAACAATGCCTTAGTTTAGACAGGATTCATTCAGTCAGAGGTCACATTGTTCAGGATTCAGCATGTTCAAACATAAGGGCAAGTTAACATGATTACATTGTGCATGATCAGAGTCATTTACATCCTTCACCTCCTCTTCCTCCAGGAGCTCTTCTATGAGAACAGACATTACCACGCGCACTGTTTCCGCTGTTTCCGCTGCGACCGCTCTCTGGCGGACGAGCCCTTCACCAGCCAGGAGGACGCGCTGGTGTGCAGCGACTGCTACTGCAGCGAGTATTCCTCCAAGTGCGTGTCCTGCGACAAGACGGTCATGCCAGGTAGGGACGACAAAGACCGGCTGCATCACTTTCATTCCTCCAGCACCAAGTTCGCAAACCTCCCCTGGGGCAGATCATTGAGTAATCGCTCAAATAGTTCAAAAGTTCACACCCCGTCTCTGTATGGATAAACAGGCTAATGAGGTTTTGTGTTCCGGGGTGTGACAGCTTAGATGTGACAGGATGATTGTTTGCCTTGCTCTACTGAAAATATCTCCCAGCAGGGTTTTTTTCGGCTCCGGCCGCTGCGACGACACGAGTGCAGCAGTGGTGTCGGATGACTTAAAATGACCCGGGCCTGTGGGTAGTGTGGGATCTCATAACTCACCAGTTCTTTTCTGAGCCGAGCAGTCTTTTTCTTCAGTTTCCGCTCAGCCTGGAATGCCTTTCAAAGCTCAGGCCAAGTTCAAGTTCAAAACGCCGTCATGCATTTGGTCTGCAGTTCAGGTCCCTTGAGTCATAGAACAGGGCCAATGATGAAAGGAGCTCAGAGGCATGACCGCTCCCCAACCTTTTTTTAAACGTCCGCAGTGAAGTGTTTCTTAGTAAAGAAAACAGCCAGATACGAAATGGTTAAAACTGTAAAATAAATAAAAAGCCAGCGAGATCGTTGCTTTGTCACAGCTTGTCAAATTGTTTTGATGCAAGGTAAGCTGAAGGAATTCTACGGAGCAGGAGGGCTGTGTAAAAACAGGTTTAGCCGTCACACTGAATCATCACTTTTGGTCTTCTCAGTGTTTCGCCATGTGAAACGCCATCAGACGTCATTCCTGCTCATTAGTTACAGCACAGTAGGGCAGAGATCAGAGGAATGTTTCAAATGACACGCAAGGTTGCAAATGTCAGGGAACACAACGAACAATGACAGACATCTCAGTTCATATTCTCATCCGTGCCTTCCCCCCCCCCCCCCTGACAGGATCAAAGATGTTGGAGTACGGCGGCTCCACGTGGCACGAGGACTGTTTTGTGTGTCACGGCTGCGAGAAGCCGATGGGTGCCGCAGCCTTCATCCCGGACGACAACAACTACTACTGTGTGCCGTGCTACGAGGGCAGGGTTGCTCCTCAGTGCAGCCACTGCAAAAAGGTGAACCAGGATCTTGATTCATCTGTAGAGAACATTTCCAATTCATCATTTAGTCGATAAAATCCATCCGCCGCTGTTTCCCAGAGCCCACGGTGACATCTTCAAATGTCTTGTGTATCAGTTCAAAGATACAGATACAGATATTCCATTTTAAATGCTATAAATCCCAGAGAAGCAGCAACCAGAACCAGAGACTGTTTAGTCACTAAATGACTTTTACAATCAATTATGTCGATCGACTAATTGAACAGTCAACTGATCCTTTCAGCACTATATCAACGAGTGGTTAAAAGTCATCATTCACTACTGATTTTTGTCTTTCTTCCTTTTGTCTTTGGATTTTGGCAAAAACAGTGAGAAAAAAAATTGTTATAAAAAAAATTCAAAATAAGATAAAGAAATGTGAAAGGACAGGTCAAGATGCCATAATATAGAAAAACATAAATTGATCAAGTGAATGATGATAAAAGTGAATGACTTAAAAGAAAAAGCAACTCAGAAAAATCTGAGGACAGAGTTGTATTGATTAGACATTATAAATCAGACATAATTACATTTTTGATTTAATTTCTTTTTACTTTTAAAGGGTATGTGAGCTCTTTTACAATATTTTAGCTGGCAGTGCACACCATAATATGTCAGGGAATACTGGCCATGTGTGGTTTTATTTTCAAATGTTCCATTTCATTTGAACTAATTCTGAGTTGATAAAAGTGAACATGTTTTAAACATTCAGGTGTTAGATTGTGTTAAAATGAACAAGAAGAACTGAGTAGTAAGCATGAACAGTAAAAGTAAAAGAGCCCCATCAGAGACGTCGCATCAGTAACAACTTCATGCCAAAATGTATCACTAAAAGACGTTTAAATTGTCACGTTTTACTGATACAGTTTGTGCTCTGCAGGCTCTGACTAAAGGAGGCGTGACCTACAAGGACGAGGTGTGGCACAAAGAGTGTTTTCTCTGCACGGGCTGCAAGGCTCCGCTGGCTGGCCAACCTTTTACCTCGCAGGGGGAGAGTCCGTACTGTGTCAAGTGTTTCAGCAGCCTGTATGCCAAAAAGTGTGCCGGGTGCAATACAGCCATCACAGGTCAGTGGAAAGTAGAGGACCCACGGGTTTTTGTTTTCTGTTGGTTTGCGGCACAATATCCCTGTTTCAATTCTGTCCGGGGCTGCTTATCATCTTCCATTTTCTCCTTCCTGTCTGTCTCAGCTGTCTACCGTCAATACAATGTCAACACAATTATCTTTGACAAACAGGTGTGGGCAGTAAGGTTAGTCAGGTTGTAAACATTGACTCTGATCTGTAGTTTGTGATTTGCATGTTTCCTCATATTTCAATAAGAAAGGACTTCACAATAAAAGCCACGCCGTCAAGCTTTCATTGTAGAAAATGTTTTTTTGTTATTAGCAGTAAATGAATACAGTTCTGATACTGTATTACATGTGTCCTGTGAATCTTTTATGTGTATGAAGACAGTTTGATTTCATAGCTGAACAACGAGCTGAAACTCACTATGAGGCTCCATAGAGGCTTTAAAGCCGCTTGTGTGTCGACAGGCTTTCTGAAAACAAACCTGTGACTGAACCGGTTTTTAAACCAGGATTGTCTAATTTTCCTACGAACAAAAACTTGATGTTCTAATCACGAGCAAACTGTACACACACACACACACACACACACACACACACACACACACACACACA